GAGTTCAAATCCCCACAAGGCTTGTAAAGCTGGGAGTGGGAGTGGTCTGTAGTCGCAGTGCTCTTATAGGTAGATGGAGACTCCCCAGATGCTCAAGGGCTACCAGTGGATAACAACAACGACACAGAGAGCAAGACAGAGAGAGAGAGAGAGAGAGAGAGAGAGAGAGAGAGAGTGAGAGAGAGAGAGAGAGACTTTGGCTTAAGAGAGAGAGCCTTGTTTCAAAAGAGGTGGAAGGCAAGACTGACATCCAAGGTTATTCTCTGGCCTCCACATATATGTCATGGTGCATGCATGCTTGCACGTACACAGATAGACCCACACAGCTTTTAGAATAGCATTAGCATAACCGGTGTAGGAAAAGCTTAAAGATCCAAGCTGGTGGCAGAAAAGGCAGGCATTAGTCCATGGGTCTAATCTTAGGACCACTATGACATCCCCCAGCCTGGGGACAGAAAACCAGGAAGAGCCTGGTGAGCATGGGAGGAGACCAGGAAGGGAGCATCCCCAAATCTAACATTGCCAGTGAAGCTTCTATCTGGGAACAAAACCAGGCTTTCTTAGCATTTCATTCATCTTTTACATCCAGGTTCTGTTTTAAAATACATCTATGTATCTTCTCAGGTGACGGGCCACTAATCAAAGCAAAATACCAAATTGATCTTGTGAATTGCACAACTATGTTTTCCTTACTTGATTGGGAGGGAAAGTGACAGAAGGGACACAGTTTATCATGCACACGGGTTCACAGGTTACTGGAGAGGCTCTGGGAAGCAAGCCGTCTAAGCTGGGCCTGTGTCACTCACGTTATCATTGGGGTAGAGCACTCTGGAGATATTCTCAGCCAGGTTGCGGTCCAGCACAGCCTGAATGTAGTCTCCAACATTAACTGAAAGGAATGTAGAAAACCAATAAATAGACAAGCCAGTCACTGTTGGAGCAAGTCCCTCGATCTCATCTGATGTCCCACCATGCACAATTCCTAAGATTTCTAAAAATCTAAAAAGGTTTCAATAAACTTTAACACTGGCCTTCCCAGGAGAGTTCAAGGCCAGACTGAAGTTTGGCTTTAAAAAATGTCTTCCATACTTGCAGGAAAAAATACCAGTTTAGCCAGGCATGGTGGTGCATGCCTTTAATCCCAGCACCCAGAAAGCAGAGGCAAGCAGATCTCTGTGCATTCAAGCCCAGCCTGGTCTACATAGCAATTTCCAGACCAGCCAAGGCTACATAGTGACACCCTGTCTCCAAAAATCAACCAACCAACCAACCAACCAACCAACCAATCAGCCAATCATAAAAAAGCCTACTCAGTCACTGAAGATCATAAATCAGAAACTCAAGGCTTTTTTCCCTTAACCTCAATTGTCTCTAACCAGCCGTCACTATGTAGTCAGTGTAGACAAAGAAAGTGGAGACCAGGCTGTACATACAATCTTGGAGGTTAAAGTCGTTTGGTGCTCGAGCTGACCAGAGACGCATAGTGTTCACCGTGTTGTTCATATACCCAGGCACGGGGGTGTCATAAGGCAGGGCCAGGACCACCTGTGGGATTAAACAGCAGCAGCTGCACACAGTTTCTCAGATGTGATGATGGAAGCTGGGCAATGTCTGGGGGGCTGCAATGCAATTCTATTCCTGACTGCTTCACATACTCACATTGTGTAAGATAGAACCAAGAAGTGTATCTCAGGGCAAAAGGGAGTATTGGAAGTCACGGGACTCCTAACCCCTCATAGTATTTCTATGCTGAATTCCCATGTGCTCCTTGCCCTGAAGAAGGGACACTGTGTTGTGGGATAATCTTTTTGAACATTGTGAAGATGTGTGTTTGCCAAGACACCTTCTTGGCAAAAAGAGCTGAATGGCCAATAGCTATGCAGGAAGAGGTTAGGCAGGACTTCCAGGACAGAGAGGAACTCTGGGGATGAATTTAGGCTGGTGAGAGACACCAGTGAGTCATGGAGGGAGTTGGACATACAAAATGAAGGAGGCGTAAATGCCACGAGGCAGAATGTAGATGAATAGAAAGGGGTTAATTTAAGTCTTAAGAGCTAGTTGGGAACAAGCTTAAGCTAAAAGCCAAGCTTTCATAATTAGTCTCTGTGTCATTATTTGGGGGCTGGCAGTTCTGATGAGAAAGTACTCCTATAACAGTGGAACGGACTGCTGTGGTATTAGTGGTAGAAAAGGGCTGAAGACAATGAACCGTGGTGTATAAGCCAAGTGATGCACTTGAGTGTGGCCTCCTGAAGAGCAGCAGCAGTCAGGGCGGGCTCTGTGTAGATCACTCAACAATCTGATGTTGCTAATATACTAAAACTCAACAGAACAGGAAAGCGATGGAGCCTCACCACATGAGGCATTTAAAATGCGCTAGCTGGCTTTTTTGATGTTGTAAAAAGCTGTTTTAGAGACTCCTGTAGTGATCTGCCAAGTTAGGTGATAATTAGCTGAGCTGGGTTCAAGATGTCAGCTTTGGAAAATCTAGCTCCATCTTGGTGGCAGCCATTCAGACAGATGGACAGGGAAGTGAACTGTTTTGCAGGACGTTTAAAATTCACATGAAAAATGACCCATTTTCATTCCTTGTCTCATCAGATCCAAGGTTCAGGGAGGGAGAATGGCAGGATGATTGTGTGGAAGGATATGTATGATCCATATTTGGTCCAGCCCACTCACTGTGACCCTGATGCAATAAATCATTCTTACTTGAATATCTTTCCCAAAGAAGTAAAGGCCTTTGTAGACTCTTTTTTTTTTAAAGCAATTGTCACCAATCAGGAGGTGTCATCTGTAGATTGGGAATGACTCTGGGTTTAAATAAGACTTGCCCTCTGCTCCTCCCGGCGTTACAGCTCCCAGCGTTACAGAGGCAGTCCAAGCATCACCCAGCTTGGATCTCCTTTTGGTGGCTTCAGAGAGAACTTGTCACCTCATAGTTCACCCTGAGGCTGTGTGTCATTTCTGGCATGCACCAACAGGTTTGGAACACTATGGCATTTCCAACAGGTGTGCTCTAGTCCCTCAGCATAACCACTCGCTCAGAGCAGCGCTGCAGCCTCACACTTTGCTGAAAACCCTTCCTTCCCCGTCCCCTTCATAGGTGGCACACTTGCACCATGAAGACCCCCCCCCCCACAACACACATCCTTTCTGTTCCATCTTC